TCTAAAACAATACCACTCAAGTTACTTAGCGGCCCACAAACTATAGAATACTCCTGTCTTAACGGATTTTTACCGACGGTAAGAACTATATAGCTGTATACTTAGATAGCATAACACGTCAGGCAACACAAAAGCTTGGATGACGTGCTCCAGACGAGAACAACCGAAATGAACAAACAGCAGATGACTGAACTTTGTTAGATCACCTTAGCTGTCCAATAGTCCAAAAAATTGGTCAAAGTCATTCTTCTTATTCGTAAGACCATAGATACTCATCATACGAGTACAATAACAAGAAAGGCCAAATCCCTGAAAGCAACCACTGGATGCTCGAAATCTGCTGAGAGCTTCAGCTCCGCCAGATGCTGACTAGACAGACAACGACCCCTCAATATGCAGCGCATTAAAGCCTTATGGGTTCTGTTATTTCCTATACATATATTCGTGTTTGCCGAAGAGATACCAGAAGTGTGCCCACCACTCGATAGGTCAGCGGTGAGATCAAATTTTCATTGTCAACTGTGTTTTAAGCATCCCAATTTAAACTCACCAGAAATGGGCCCCATCATAGCCTAGATCATGGGAAACTTCGGATTTTATATTCATGCATTGGCTTTCGATTGTGTCACATAAAGTTTGTGAAACGCTATCCCCATTCAACATGGGACACTCAGTTTTCGAAACCCAAAGGAGTTCTGTTCACTGAATTTACGTTCAGTATCGAATTGGTACGCCTGCTGAGGAATTGCGGGAGGCCCATAAGGCCACTTCGTTCATCCACAAGATAACTGCGAATCATTTACAATTGACAGCCGCGGTGCATAGGGTCATGTGCGCAGCGTCCACATTCTTGGTCATTAATAATCGACAACCAATGTCTCAATTACAAGCAGAATAAGTCATTGGAGGCGAACAAACTAACTAAACGGCAAGATTTATTCACGACGTGTGGTTCATGCAGTTTGTTGGACACAGGTCCTGGCCTAAATCGTAACTTTGGATCATTAAAGTGGCCTTATAGGTCTTCCCCAATTTCTCAGCATGCGACATGACCTTATGAATTCTTACAGTTTCGGAATTTTTGTAAATTCAGTAGACAGAGGTTTTGTTCCGAGATTTTTGTTCTTATGACAGACAATAATGATATCTGCATAATTTCAGCGAATTATGTATTTAGCGTACCCTTCAGCATTTTGCCAGCACAAGATCATACGCCATCATCATTTCTGTATCGTTCCTCTCAAAATCGTTTGGATGACTTTATAACTCTCATTTGGGTTTTTTTATGAAAGTGCGTGAAGTCTTCTTGGTCTGTTACAGCAGTTGAGTTGCTTCAAATGTTTTTTTAACGGAAGCAGTCCATTGGGCTTGATTTCGGTCAGGTAAAGTACCCTCTCCTGCTGATCCACCGATTTTGTATATCTCTTTCCTATATGTTTAGTTTTCAGAACCAAGATGGTGGAGCCAAATCCTGTTGAAACAAAGCAGTATTGGTTGGATTTGTTCCTACCAGCTATGGTTTTGCGGTAGAGGCTTGTAGGTTGAAACCACCGAGAATATCAATAAGAGACCAACGAAGAAAACCGTTGTCTGAAAATGAAATAATGATACCGCAGATACAATCAACTCAGAGTTATGTCTGAAGTGAGAACGCGTGTAAACGAATGGCTTGCATCTTGATTCAAACCTATCTGTGCAAGCCACGCTTTTCAAATTTAACAGGTCGGTCAACAGCGTGGAAAATGAATCTTTGTGTTCTGAAAACCAACGCGGAAAACTTGGTAACCTTCCAATATTATTCCACTGCAGTTACTACAGTTGAGTCGGATTATGGCGTCTCCAAATTCAGCATTCCGGCATGATTTTTTTATTTTAATTTATCGTTCAGCTGTAACACCCTTCCGGTGCCTAGCTGCCATGCCACCCGAAGTAAGGACGAGGGCTGGGATACTGCCAGGTTGCCCAAAGCCTAGACAGAGGAAATCGAGAGGCAGAGGTTGGGTTCGAACCACGGACCTTCCGGTCAGTAAATTCGCGCTCTAAGCACCTGAGCCATCTCGCCCATTCCGGCGTGATAGTGTGATGCATATCGTTTAATTTAACTGTTGGGAATTTCTATGTATATTCCTCTTGAACATTTAATCAGCCTCATGGGCAAAGTTCAAAGGAAATAAGTTCTCCCACAGGAATGCGATGCCCCTGTTGCCTGCCTCGTCCGTGTATCGATATTTTTACCAGAAGCCACAAAAGTTGCCGCACCTTACAGATGTTTGTGTCCAACCAAAGCGCCGTCTAAGTGCCCTCATGGCTGCGCCATCCACATAGTAAAACTGTCCGTACCCACTCACCTAGCGCTAAACAGGTCCGGCTCAAATTGGGTGCTTGATGCTATCGCTTCTTCAGTTCTCGGTGTAATTAGTTCAGATAATGTTGTTGTGCCACATAGAAAAGCATCAATCGTTTCAAATGGGTCTCGCTAGCACAATGAGTGAGGGGTCGAGCATCTTTCAGATATCGTAAACCTGCAAATAGCCGTCGTGTTATGCAAAGAGCCCTCGCAGTCGCTCAGCAATGGAGCTGAGCTACATTGGGTTTGAAAACGTTGGCTGACCTCGTTTATGTGATCATGAGAATGTGCACGCAACACTATGTATCAGTGTACACACTGGAGATCTATTAGTGTTCGGATTGTTTAGAGGTACACACCGTGCGACGTTTGAATGAGCCGCACACTTTTTCACAAAAAAGGAAGACAGTACGGACCATCCGTAAGAATGCCGGAGTGTGTTGAGCAAAACTTCACCATAGCTCTTTCTAAACTGTGCACACACGATGATGCATGATCAATTTCTATAGTTCGTGTTTCAGAGAGTGGACAAAATCCAAAACAATAGTAGAGACCATTGACAGGAGGTTGAAATGCATGCCCGCTTTGGCCTAGCACGTGGAGCATGATGCTTTGGGTTCTGATATAATAATTCGAAGATCGAATTGCTGGTTCTTTACTGACTTGTCACTACGGTAACGTTCCTAGATGGAACTCGCTTGACTGTATAAAGTGCACTACCTAGTCCTTAGAAGGAAGTTGTCGAATCACGAACAGCTAAAACTTTTTCAAACAACTGCATCTTATTCAAGTTAGTTGGCATCTTCAAGAACTTCCACTGTGTTACGATCCACAGAATGCAACGCAGGTGATACCGTACACAACTGATGGGTGGCGAAAATTGTTTAACGCTAACTTTAGACCCGACGAAGTAAACTTTTATATTGTTAGCTCAATCAGATGCATGTAAACTGTGGTACATTCTTCAGAACACGTTAGATCCAGTTTTTTCGCGCGGCACGGGACTAGGGGCTCCTACATTTTCAGTTCCCGTACGTTTATTGACCACTGCTCACTTCAATAAAAATTAAGATATTGATTGAACATGTTGTTTGTTAGTGCTGTCGTAAGAATCTTCAGAAACTGTACTTAAGAAGTCAGCTTGACAGTCCACCGTTCCTGGCTGCTAATGTGGGAAAAGACATCTACTTGGGCGAATGATACCTTATTTTTTAGGGGCAAGCGAAGCACGCATCGTTTAGCACTTTATTTTTTCTATTGCTTTAAATCATATTTACAAAGGATTTGTACAGCACCCACTGTGTTCGAAGTAAATTCAAAGGAACCCCAACCGAAATCCTCTGGCACTAGAGTTCTATCTTAGGAGGAACCAAAAACAAGACATCGTGGGATTTACGCTCTGAATATACGGATACCGTCGAGAGTCCCTAACGAAATTACTCTTCACCTGAAATTCTTGCTGTCCGCACCTTCCTCCTCAGAGATCCTCATGTTACATTCACTCATTTCTTCACTAGTCTACTTAAAAGGTTTTGTTTCTTCATGCTTTGGGAAGAATTATGCCACTTGGCTACTCTGTCTGGATCTACTACCATAATAAAAATTGTTTACGGTGCCAAAGTCTGTTGAGTACAAAGCTGGCAGTCACCAGCATTCTCTTAGTGCCCAGAATTCTTCATGTCCGTTCGATGAGGACTAATCAGAACGTGTTAATAACTGGATTAAAGTTTTTAAGACTTATCTAGTTCTCAGTATTGTTATCAAGCTACCTAGGTAGTAACATTAGAATGACAGGGGGCTTGTGCACTGGCTTAAATTGACCAGTTCCATCTCTATTTCCCAGCATGGGACTGATAAATTTGAACCGCAGTTGCAAACTGTGAAGTTGGATCGTTGAAATGGTTGACCACTTTGGATTTTGTAATGTATTGCACACTTTAATTTGAGAAAAATAAGTTGCACAACTGGTCCATAACTGAGCTTTCGCAGAAAGCATTCATATCATAATTCATAAGGAAATTTGGGTTGGTTGCCGGACCAGTAGACTTATACAGTTTTCAACCTTGTTTCTGGACAAGGTTTGTGATGACCCCAACGGAGATATGTCACTTCAGCCCAATGTTGCTTAACGCGGCGCTATGGGACTAACTTCATGCCTCTAACTGGGAAGAGATGGGATACAATCAGCGTTCCAACTGACCTGTGAACGACGCCTTGTTAGCTAAAGAATTTAGTTTAACTTATAGGGCTTTCGGTCAGCAGCAACAGAAAAACGAAAATGGGTAGACGCAATGGGTTTTTTCTTTAAATCACTTGATGAATGCGAACTGAGTGTTGTACGACTTCTGACTTTACAGAAAAACAACTCGAATCCAGTTGAGCACTTCCACATGGCTAAAGTTTGGGGATTTCACAGTCCACTGAGGGTACACGATTACAGTGCGTTTAGTACGCGTGACTCACCGAAGTGGGTAAAATGCAATAAGGGAATAATGTCAACTGATCGTCCGGATGCTAAGGTCATGACTCACACAAACCAAAATAGAACAGAGTGGTTTCTGTAGCCCAGGCACAACAATATGAACCAGGCGAGACATAAATTGCAAATCTGCGATAAAATTGTACGCGAAACCGATGTCGTTGTGACACATACGTCTTGATGGTCTGGACGACGCACATCACTTGTATACAACAACTGGTTTCATACCAGGTTCGGGTGGTGGGGCGGCTTGTTTCGCATGCCGCTCACAATAGAGTTGTTCGTTAATGTAAAAGTATCCCACATTGCGTAGGCCAACGCCACATTTACAACACTTCAAACATTCTGGGTGCATTGGAACTCTTCCCTGAACTTTGACAAACACATCACGAATGTAACCGCCACACGAACCACAAGATTTGACTCCACTGTCAGTCCTCGCCATCGCACCACCTGCAGGCCGAGATGGAGAGGGCTGACTGCCGGGTCCGGAGAAGGCGCCAACAGTTCGTTCAAAAGTTTCATCCAGATTGCTCTTATGATACAACCCCATGGGCGAGTTGTAACTCGAGTGTTTGATTTGACGAAAACGGCCATCCACTCCCTTTGCTACAAGTGCTTGTCCCGGAGCTGGGGGCGAGTGTCCAAAAGGTAACGGGGATACATTGTGACTTACACCAATTCCCTGACCATCATCATGATTTGTGGCCTCCAGACTTGTGCGAGTATCCAAACCACTGGCGTTTCTTAATGGCTGAGGCGAATGAATTAATTTTGGCTGCCACACTGTGCCTGATTTGACTGTCTGTGTTGGAGATGATTTATTCCATGAATTGTTTGGCAGCATAGTGACCGGTGCTGAGGCTTGGACCACATGCACCGCACTACGCTGAACCATCATTTCCAAATCATTTCCTGAACGAATAATCTCCATTTTGGCATCGTCGTGTCGCATCCATTTGGCTTCTGATCGGTTCAGGCGTACAACAACATCTCCGGCTCTGAGCCCACCGCAGTCCGCTACGCTTCCTGGGACGACATGCTGAATGTTGATTGCATGACCGATATCTGTTCCACCTTCCAGACGAAATCCCCATGGCACAGAAGTATCTTCTCTAGCTAAACGTATTGTGTGCAGCTGGGAGACCATGGTCTGTTACCAACTATAGTTTGACTTGGCAGGACTGTATGATCGCTCTGAGTGTTAACAGACCGCTGGTTGCCTGTCTGTCCACATCGGCTGCAAGGACAAGATTATCAAACATCCGGGTGCAGCTGGGCAATTGATCAATGGCAACGTGCATGGTTAGGAGATTATGACCTTGAGAGGACCACAGCCGGTATTGGTGCGTGATAAGCACACAAGGGCAGACACATACGAAACATCACTTTCCGTCCGTGCATCTGTTCACAGTTGGTGTAAGTTCGAAATTTCTCACCCCTATAAAGGCGGTTGCCTACGCGATTGCCATCTGCTGGCAGAAGGCGTGATTGCTCAGTTTTCGTTCCGAAAAATTCTTCGTCGCGTTTGCTGATTTATCAATGAAGCAAAAATACAGTAAAATGACAGTGGAAATAAATGATTCTAACAGCTTACATCAATGAGAATTCAAGCATTTCCGTAAGATCATCCACTAACTTCCTTCATGGTATGATCACACCACTATTCCGGGAACTTTGTCACTAGAAATTTGTCCATCTTCGAAGCCATAAGCAACTAAACCTATTTTTACGTGGTTTCGAAGGTTCCAATGACGGTCACTGATAGGTCATGGTAACATTCTTTGCTCATGGATATGATATGACAGGCCATTAGGCTGAGCGTCTTGATCCAGTTCAACAACACAGAAAAGTGTTCTCAACAACCGTCGTTTGGTTGGTAAGCAAACAAGCATAACCCGAAAGAACCTAGCACAGAACAAAATTTCACGTGACTGGCTATGATTGTGATTGCTCAACGTCGACGGGAGACAGACTATTGCACTATAGTAAACTAAACAAAAAATACTCTATCAAACATCTCATTTTCCCGACAACTGTGGAAAGTAGAGAGCTGACAACAAGGCCCCTTACTGGGATACATCAGGAACTTGTACTGGACCAGAATTATTCTGCAAAGAACGAGCCAGAAGGGTGCAAAGTACCATTACACATACCCTTGACAGATGGTCAAAGAAACTAGGTTTGCCAGTTAGGACTTCAGCACATTTTTCAGGTGTGTGTTTGAGCAAGATTTAACTTCAACTTTCGCCTAGCCCTGAACATTAGTTGGCTTCAATTGATGCAGTGTACGCGACAATCCTGAGAAGCCCATCCTACTATTATGCCTCAAGAACTATATGTCGGAGTCAGCGAGAAGAGTACTGGTCGTGCTGTTACGAAGTGATGACCATATTTTGGTGGGGGTTGTCATGCATACATCTGCATCTTTATGCCGAAGGATCTACTCGCCTCTTCTGGAATCAAAATAACAGGACGTGATTCAATGTACTGATTTATGACTTGGTTGTCTTCCTGTCTTCTAAAACCGTCACAAAGTTTTCCTTATTGTGAGAATCGCACTCCAAATCACTACGAGCTCGACTAATGTGGTCAGTCTTTTCTCTTCATGGTCAAAGTGGAATTTGGTCACGTTAATTCATTGGAACTTCCTAGTGATGCGATTTATGTCAGTATATTTCACTGTCTATATAGCTGAGATTCATCCAGGGGCCTTGTCTCATCTTCGTCTAGTTTACATGTCGCATCTGCTGTATAAGTTGGTGCATGTACCACGCACGATGTCTTATGCCAACAGTCTTTGTAGTTTTGTTAGTTTCACCAGTTGAATTGAATCCGCAGGTGGATGTCTTCTTTCCGTGGCGTCATAAAAATTACTTTTAACTCAGTGCCTTGACTCAACATGGATCGGTGAGGTAGTTTCAGGTAATCCTTAGTTGTCCTTACATGTTCCAAGCAATCCGGCGTATACATAATCTAAAATCCGTGTGTCAGAATTATGCCCTTCTTATCTTCAGGAAGAGTTGAACCGCATGGCAAGCCACGGCTCTACTTACTGAACGATCGATAGTCACACACAATGGATGTTGCTTGACTATACAACTGAGTATCGGTCTAGCACATCATCGTTGCATCGGGCAAGTTAATTGGGGCAACTCGACCCAACTGAATCCAAGTTTAAAACAAGTAGTTGTTCTATATGTTTCACCATACTTGGCTGTCAGAAAAATTCAAGAAAAAACGGGATGTTTTGGTAGCAAGGTGTGGATTATAGTGCCTATTGCTTGAGTCATACATTAGGTAAGACCATCGTCTAATTTAACAAGTACCTAGTAGACGGTCTTAAATGTCTTTGAGAAACTGGTCTGGTGGATCTTTTAAAATGTCTCTAAAATGAGATTCTCAATGCCCACTGAGTTCAAGTTAGGCGAAACTGCCAACGAGGTTATCCATTCGAGATAAATAAGGCTGTTTACGAGGTGACAATCAATCGACCAGAAGCCGTTCGACGATCTGCACGTTTCTACTGAGTAAGCAGTTTCAAGCTAACCGAATCCAACTATCCGCACACAAAAGCAATTGACTGTATCAGTCAATATCCTGTTGCTATCTGTCGACAGCTGGGACCACTCTCACTCGTCATGTGATAGCGGTATCATATGAATCCCTCGGAGAACTTCAGTAATCACCGGCAGTTGCTGATTTGATTGAAGTCCGGGATTCGTAGCTTAGCTTGGCTGATTGATACTAGCTATTCCCCTCGAATAAATCCCAAACGTCGAGATCCCTTTTCACCCAGCCTGATTTTTTTTATTTATCTGGCGCCTACCTCACAGTAGCATTGCTATTCATGCTTACTCCACACACTCGACGAGGATAGCTGCGGCCCACCGCTGATATATTAATGGCACACACTTTCCGTACACTGTTTTGCGGGGTGCCAAGTCGAGGTGCGCCACTTAGTCTCTAATCTTTTTCAACCACTCAGTGTCATTACTAACTTCATTTTGAGCCCGGTTTCGGATATTCCCGGACGGTTGGAAGTAGAACCAATTGAGATGCAACATTTTAATGGATGAGGTCATAGTTCCTTTCCTGTTTCACATTATTTTGGTTTGAACAGTCCGCCTGCTCTAGAGCAGCTGCTCTGGCCCGTCCGGGAAGGAACAAGACCAGTTTCTCCCTTATTAGAGCCCCAAACCCCGTGATCCAAACGAGAATCGAACCCTGGAAGCCTGAAATCATGCACCTCCATTAGAAATTCGTACAAATTTGCCAGTAAGGTAGCAGGGATTCCTTTAGGAATGGACGAAGTCTTTGTGAATTTTAACATCATCTCCCTGGGACAGATACTGTGGAGGTAACCAAGGGGTTGTTACTGGCAGAGACGATATTCGGGGACAAACAGAGTTCTTGGTGGATGAACTGGTTGAAGGCATAAGAATGTGTTTGAATATTGATGAGTTTGTTTTTGAAACAGCCGTTTAATCACAAGAACAAGGCCTTGCAATGGGATCTCCAATACCCCTAGTTTTAGCTAATATTTATATGAAGGACCTCGAAAAAATAGCCTTGGCCCGATATCATTGTCCAGCGAAAGATTTTTGGCGTTCTGTTGACGACACCTTTGTTGTAATCAAACCAGATAAGGTGAACAGCTTCCACGACTATCTCAATAGTTTATTTCCACACATCGAGTTTAGCATGGAAATAGAGTCCACCTCGAGCACATTACCCTTTCTGGACTGTATAACACATAAGATTGTTGAAAAATTAAAAACTACGATCTACCAGAAACCAACAGACACAGGAACCGTCTTAAACTGCTCATCAGCACACCCAAAGTCCATGTACGCCATGAACGGCAGCTCAAATCGAGGTTGCCAACAGACTTCAAGAAATAGGATAACCAGTGAGTTTGATTGAGCGTCAACTAACAAGACATTGACTCCGGTATCTTGACCCAGTAAGGAATGGATCGACACAGTATTCTATATAAAGCAGGAACATCGGAGGTTATCCAAAGACTGTTGAACTTAGCGAACATTCGAGTAGCTTTCCGGAAGTGAAAAGCGCCACGTTCAATTTTGGTACAATTGAAAGATCCCTTGCCGGTTGAAAGGACTAGGGACTGTGTGCATAGAATCGACTGTAGCGATAGCACATAGGACAAACTGCCAGGGAATCGCACACCAGAATCGGTGAGCACAAAAGAAGGATTAACAAACCACCAAGGAATGCAGAAGAATATCAAACGCTGATCAAAGACTCAGCGATGGCAGTACATGCCTTAGACACGGGACAGAATAGATCTGGAGAATGTGGAAGTTTTAAGACGGGGACTGCGATTCACACCACAGCGGCTGACAGCCGAGGCCGTGGAAATTACTAAGCATCACAGCGTGAATAGAATCGAGTGTGTGGATCTGGCGAGCGTATGGAAAGCGGTCTTAGATAAGCCAAGTTGACACGTGACGGTGTGGCTGTCAATCCACGTATAATCATTATAAAAAACCGGGGGTTGGGGGTGGAAATCCCAACCCGACCAAAGGTCACAGCATCCCTCTTACCCATCGGCCCAACACTTGTCCACCCACCCAAATGCACAAAAAATCTCGGCCGACAACCAACAGAGATTTAGCTTGGCTTGGCTGATTGGTTCTCCTTCCGCCTTAAATTTCGATCAACCTCGGAACCTAGTCACTTGGCCTGACGAAGCTTCGCCCAGCATTAAATCTACCGATTGTTACAAAACTTTTCGAAAACAGTTTGAGGTCTGAAACATGAAGCGGCCTGGTGCAGCACATTCAGTTGCCTGAGGACATCACTAACGAGAGATTCAGCTGGGTTCCAGGTGAGTCTCTCGAAAAAAACAAATTAGTTTGCAAATGAGTGTATATTCGCTAAAATTTGAGGTCATTGTGATTGTAACGCAAGGCTCTTCACGTACGGACAGATGGATCAGCTATACCGTCGGTTAGCATAACACTCCCTACGATGATCCAGCAATCGTATTTGATTTGCCGATCGACTTAGGCCACGGAAACACCACAGTTAGGAAGCACTGAACTCCATTTCAGCTCCATTTAGAGCTCACCGACACCACACAATATTGGTTAAATATTTCGCAGCGTCGAACCGCATCACTGA